ACAGTTGAATGGCTATCACAAAACTAGTTAAATACTTTACAAGGTAGGTAGAAAAGAAAACAAATGTCACTCTAGATTGACAATCTATATTGGACTAAACAATGCAAACAAGGGCTACATTTACGTATCAAATTTTAAACACAAAATAGGTAGTAGCATTAGCATCAACATCAACATTCACAACATAAATTAGCAGCATCAAGAAGCAATCACAACTACCATGAAAACAACACAACCTCAAAGGATAGTTTTATCTCAGATTCTGATACTCTGCATCAAGTCCCTCATGATTATGCCCTATCGTATCTAATTAAACTAATCACTCCTCTTAAAACCTACGATCTCTTTGATTTCCTAAAAATCAATAAGAGAGAAAAACGAGAAAATAAATTAAAAAATATATTTGTTTTAAACCACAACTCCTTGATCATTGATCAAGTTTCCAAGAAAAAAAAGGTATGATCTCAAGCCACTATCCTCACTCTTTTGCTCAATTTTCTTAGAATCCAAGCACTAAATTAATCACTTGCCATAGAAACTATCCATATTCCATAACAAAGAATTACACACATTGCCTAAACAAAATTAACACAAAAAATGTCTTGACACTCAAAAAGCAAGCATTGAAGAATCAAATCAATAAATGAGTAAAGGAATGATGAAAATAGTAATAACGCCTATCAATCTTGCCCTTTTTGAGACAAGTACATGTGTTCAAAATCCACTTTTCTCACGCGTCACTCTTTTAAGTACCTTGGGAAGATCCTTTTACTATCATGCCAACACTATTACAAGTTTAAACAATATAATGGTCACCCAGAAGAATTAACTGTCTTTCTACTAGTTCTTAAATTCAGATGTCATAATTACAAGGAATTCAATTTCAAGGTACATGGCTGACAAATTTTAAAGGTACAACAATCAGATTCACTTTACAGGGGATGGGTACTCATCACTGCTCTAACAAGCCAACAACAAATCTCATTCTCCACCTTCGCCAATGGCCAATTGGGAAGTAGGAGTGCCAATTGGGAAGTAGGAGTTAGCTGTGGTGCCCTTGACCCAAAGTCAAGGCCCAACGCCCATCAAACACAACAACATGACAAGGATTAAAGGACAAATACAACTAAATTTTGAACCTTATCAAAGACAATTAACATCAAATGGATGTATGGGATCATGAATGGATGAATGCATATATGTGCATGTATGAATGAATGCCTTTATGTGCATGCATGAATGAATGCCTTTATGTGCATGCATGTATGAATGCCTTTATGTGCATGCATGTATGAATGCCTTTATGTGCATGCATGTATGAATGCCTTTATGTGCATGCATGTATGAATGCCAATGTGTGCATGCATGTATGAATGCCATGCTCATGGATATTTATGTTTGCATTCATGTAGAATGCCTTATACATTCTGCCACAAACCAAGGTTAATCAATAATCAGATCATGTTTAACTAGGCAATTAGAATCAAGAGACAAATTTTTTTACCAATTAACAGAGTTAAGAATTAGACCCATCAAAAGACATAGGTAAGAATTTTAAAAATAAACACCATAACAAAATCAGGTGCAGATATGCCTAGGATATATGAACAAGATATCTAGATCAAGCATCTCAGATAACTAGAATTAATCAACATGACAAATCAATAGTTGGAATCAAGATCCTTAGGAAATCAATAGCGTGTTATTAGGTAGCAACACAAGAATCTAAGCAGATAGAGGAAAAGAGCCATTCCTCTAGAACTGAACTCTAGAGCACTAAAGACTGTGATGACAACCCACTTAAAGCATAGTCCATAGTGGCAAGATATTTCTACAATCAAGTCATCTCTAAAATCAAGTCAAATCAAATATATTAAGACGAAATATTAGCATTAGGCTATCTATCCATAACAAAATAGGGATATTTCTAAATATCTACCTAGAAATCGTCACCCCTCCTAAGGAGTTGTCCACATGAAACTTAAAAACAAGAAATTAACAGGTATATCGGTATACAGAAATAACAACCAGTATAAAATTCAGAATTTGAGCAGGAGCAAGTGTCGACAAGAATATTTTCAAGGACAATTCAGAATAGATTCCAAAACCAAGTATCAATTGATTTTCTACATTAACATATATCAGGCTAACTTCAAGAACTCTACCAAGCATAATTTATATTCGGATGTCAATACTCAAGAAACAAAACAAGTGCAGAATATTGAAGAGGTCAAAGAGTTGATAGAAAAATTAATGAGTTTCAGAGTAATTACTACTTTTGGAATCAACTTTAAAGAATTTAGTCATATGGCAAAGAAAAGCTCCCAATAAGAGCTAAAAGAAAATTTTGAACAAAGTGATCCTTCAGTAGTAGTAAGATTACTTGGAGAAAGTTTAGGGAAGTTTGACTATTATGTCAAATACTCTCCCTCAGAAATATTAGTGTCTCAAGCTGAAAAGCTGGCTATTCACAATGCTGAAAGCCATAACTTTCAACCTGATTACTCACAAAAGAAAGAAAAGAAAGCTACAACAATAGACACCTTGTCAAAAATGACAATGAGTGAAGAATATCTGCAGGAATATTGCAGAGTTTGTAAAATGGCATATTCAATAAAGTCCACTGAGAATTGCCATCCTATCCATGAAGGGATTTATCCCAAAACTAATTTCATATAGGGTGCAAACCCAAAAGTAATAAAAGAGTTATTCAATTATGGTTTTGTAAACTGTATTTATTTCTCAAAGGATAATGAAGAAGTTTTAGAACTCCCATAAGTTATACGACAAGCAGTGAAAGACTTCAAAACTAGCACCAAAGCTCAAGGGGTAGTATTTGTCAAAATCTACTCTGCAGCACTAGAATGGAAGAAATCTCAATATTTCCCCAGTCATCATATAGTTCAAATTGGAATCTAGTCCAAGAAAATCAAGGTAGAATCCAATGAAGATCAAACATTTCAAGACCTTGAAGAGTCTCTTTGTGGGATCGCGTTCATCCAAGAGAGACGAGCTTTAGGATTCAAGGTTTTACTCTAAACCTTTGACAAAATGATAGAGATGAGGAAGACATGGACATATGGCTTCTCCAAAGAAATCTCGGTGGTATCCACTGGTGCAAGATTAATGACAAGCATCAGCTTATTCAAAAGAAAGTAAAAAAGAGAGGAAATCTTTGAAAATCTAGTTCCAACCAATAAAGTAGTCCATAATCGACTATGCAAGCTATTAAAGCATGATAACCATTGTGGTTTCTACTACAAAAAAGAATCTGCAAAAGGAAAAGTTAAAGCCCCATGTGATGAAGGGACCACCCCTTCAAACAGTGAAGAGGATCTCATCATCCTCTAAAGAATCCAATGCAAAAAGATGTAAGTGCTTACGTCACTAAAGA